ACAAAGGTGGGGTGTGGGAGGGTAGCAGGCAAGAATTAAACGCTGGTTAGCAGTGATTACTAGGGTGCAATCTTCACCCCAGCAAATCTTGTAGTTGAGATTTTACTAATATTACAATTTTGAGCACAACGTTCCTAGAACAGGTTCACTCAACTTGATTTCTTAGGGGGCAGGGGGGTGGAGGTGGGAGGGCAGCCGAAGGCACGGTCGAAGAGGAAAGTCTTTAGACGGGACTTGAAAGAGGCAAGAGAGGCGGTGAGGTGGAGGGACTCCAGGATAGAGTGCCAGAGTGTGGGGGCAGAGATGCTGAATGCCAATGGTGACCACTGCTGAGAACGAGGGTTGCAGATTGTTACGGTGCTTCATTATGTCAGTCAATGTTTAGAGCATCTTGCATCAGCCTCGCACTGAAGTCTACTATCATTGATGGGCGTTGAGTTTTGTTATTCTCAGCAAGCTTGTCAGATGGTGTACCTTCCCAGGTCATGAGGGCTTCATTTCAGAGGAGGGCTAAACTGATATTCATCTTACTTTGGTACAGGTGCACCTCCCTAGTCATATGAAGAAGATAGATTGTCTAACCGTCTGTGTCACTAAAGAAGTCTCTGTGCTGGCAAGTGCCTCCTGCCAGGAGATTAAAGGGAGAGAAGGTAAGCGAAGCATAAGGATTCTTGCAAGATTAAAAAATAAATGAGCTTGAACAAGCAGAAGCAAACTTGAAATGAAGCCCGACAGTGAGAGTTTTATGGAGCTGTTCACTGAGAATATATATTTTGGTGCAGTTCAGGTGCAGTTTTATGGAGCTGTTCACTGAGGATATATATTTTGCCTACAAAATATACAGTCTGTCACTTTACAGAATATTCTATGAAACGCTTTGAGACATCTCGAAGACTTGATAAGGCGCTATATCAAATTCAAGGATTATTATAACACAGTGACACGATTTAAAATGGTGACTCAATTACCATGTGCTATAAAGAATATTTGATTATGATTCTTAGCGTGCTGAACTGCACACAGCTTTCTGTTTACATTTAATTGCATGTTGATATTAAACTCTTAAGAACACAAAGCAGATTTTTGTTCTCCAGAATCAGCAGCTGCCAGCACACATGTTCGATTTGACTGACCCAGCTACAAAGCCGTAAAAAGCTAGGGTTAAAGAAAAGATATAGACAGCCTATTAACAGATGCCCCTAGCACTCCATATTCTCATCCGAAGAGCTGTTAATAACATTGTACATCTGTTACACCTTCAGTAACAGAGTCTTGTATAATGTGTTCCACTTATCCGGCTTTATTGAACCTTGTTTCAGACAACAATTGTTCTCCTATTACATTTTACATGTATTTGAGTGCCACCAAACCAGAAATTCATAGTACTGTAGATGCTCTGATGTGCTGTTGACTTCGTGGTGTGATGCATTATGTTCTAATGCACCTACACACATAATGAAAGGGGAAAAAAATCAATACAAACATCTAGCTTGCCAGAATACAATTGCTGAAGCATTCTCATGTATTCATAATATTTCAGATCTGAACATAGTTAAAATCATTTTATATCAAACTGCCAAGCTTATACATATAGATGTATATGACACAGCGCTTGCATCCAAATGACAGGGCACACATTTGGTAGCAGCACTAAAACCAAACATAAATCAGTAATTTCCAAATGTTTGCTTTCGCATAAACAATATGTATGTATTTTCTTGTTCTGTTTTGAATTAAATTGGATATGATTTATTGCAGGCATCTGCTTTTTTCTCTATAATAGTACAGTAGATACAATCAGTTGGGATTTGAGATGCAAACTTTAATGCTATGATGGTTTGTCTATCCATCTACTTGTTCATGTGAAAGTAACATATGAATTAACTCAGGAAAGGTCCAATGGATTTTCACCACATGGTGAAACTTCCTATTGGAGTCCTGTAGCTCAGTGGTTAGAGCACTCGCTTTGCAAGTGAGAGACCTGAGTTCAATTCCAGGCAGAGGGCAAAACCTTGGGCAAGTTTCCTTACTCCACACAGAGCCTAATAATAATCCCTCCAAAACCAAAAACAATAATAAAATTGGTCATTTTCAATCTACGACTGTTTGTGGGACATTGCTGTGCACAATTGGCTGCCGCGTTCACCCACAAATATACAGTCAATTCACTTTACAGTGTGTTCTGTGAAGCGCTTTGGGACGTCCTCCCGACGTGAAAAGCGCTATATCAAATGCAAGGATTATTATTATTATTATTGGGTAAACATGGGAAACTGGCTTTGGTTGTAGGAAAGAAATATTTTGTTGTGAACAAAATATGCTCCTTCCATTTTGGTTTTCTAACAAAATCAAAATATTAGTTTTGCCCACAAAATAGTCAATTCACTTTACAGTTATTCTGTGAAGCGCTTTGAAACGTCTCAATGATGTGATGAGGCACTTTATCAAATACAAGGATTATTATTATTAGGGTACTTTAAATGTACAGTCATAATAGGATACGCATCACACCACACCAACACAGGAACTCTGCTTTCACTTCCAGGAACATTGGAGCTGTATTCCCACAGTACAACTTAATCTTTAAGATGCTATGTAATGCTAAGTTGCAAACATTGCATTTTCACTCCTCCCCATATGAAAGACAATGATTTCACTGCTGGTGGGTGGGCCTTCAGTCACTCTGCGCTCACCCTCTGGAACTCAATCCCACAGTCCGTCCGCCTCGCCCCCTCCCTTGCCTCCTTCAAGACCCGTCTCAAGACCCTCCTCTTCGACCGTCGCTTTGGTCAACCTTCTTCCCCCCTGCGCTCCACCCTTCCCACTCAATGACCCCCAGCTCGGCTCCGAAACACTGATTGTCCAGTGCCTGGGACGTCCTCCCTACGTGAAAGGCGCTATACGAATGTAATTGTGTTGTTTTTGTTGGTGTACGAAGAGATAAATTAAATCGTGTGGTGTACAGGGAATTTGCATTGATAAATGAAGATTCATAGGAATGATAACAACCGTCATCAATGTTATGTTTATTTCTTTTGAATTCTGCTGCTTTTGATACAACATTTACAAAAGATCTCATTTGGATTCGTTTCATAATGTAAAACATTGAATCTGTATTTTAAACAGTAGCTTTAAGTGGTTGCTGTATTATGTGTGGGTTGCGCCTTGGCAGGTGTGTGATACATTTACTTTGAGCTTTCCACCAAACTATAGTCCTTCATTCAGGAAATGGTTTTATTTAAATCGCATATACAATAAAGATCGCATTTAATTTATATCAGAGATTGCAGAGAACTAAAAGGTCTGCAGAATCATTTCTAAATTAAACATGCAGCGATACATGTATGATTCCAGCGCACTTTGAAATATTTGAGTTTTTTNCACAAATTGTGCGCGATTCAAACACATGGCTAACTTTAAACCTAACAAAGCATTCTCCGCTCAAGATTAAAGTTTAATTTATTGATATTTTGTTTCACCGCAGATTCTTTGAGCCAGTGTGCGCTTCAGAAAGTTACAGTTGTTATAATTGTAAACACATAATGGAAAACACTTCCTGGTAAAGTATTTTTCACATAAAAAGTTGATAAAGATCCAGTCTCAGATAAGTACAAGTTTAATGTAAAAAAAATCTGCATCAGTGTCAAAACTATTGTCCATTTTTGTCACTGAACCAGGAGAATAATTTTTCCATGTTATTTTTGTCTTTTATTTATGTTGCCCAAAAGCTTGTTTCGGGGATAATATACTTTCTAGGCTGACACTTGCTTTGTTATGTAGATGTGCCATGTTCAGAGATAAAGCTGAGGACAAAACAGCTCTTGGCTGCACGAGAGGATAATGGTATCTATAGTACAGCACTAAACCTCGTGTGTATATATATATATATATATGCGTGTGTGTATGTGTATATATATGGTAGCGAGATCCAGGAGTTGTCAATGAGAAAAATCATTGTACATGTTTTGGGCTTTTGCATTTGAAACCCACTTTGCTTCTGAAGAGTCGAAATAAATCAAGCTTTTTAAACTCTGTTTCTGCAAACACAAAATGGATATTAAGTAAGGCAACTGAAACCTAACATCTCCCTTGGCATTCAAGGAAAATGATTTATTCTGGGGGTAACATCTGTTTGTAGATTACAGCCAAATGCTTTGCTCATTTCTGGCAGCGCTTGGAATCCTTTCCAGTTACATTCACCCAGAGATTTCCTTCTCCAGCTTCCCATCTGACAGGAATCACTCATCTGAGTCTGATGAATAATTGTAAAAGGCAGTGTATATCACCGTTGATTTAATTACAAATTGTTGAAATTGCTATTAAGTCTATTTTAGATATACACATTTAATGTGTCTAACACAATAGAAGAGTGTTGCTGAATCCACATTTACTTATATTTAAGCCCCCAAAAAAACTTACACCCACAGAGTGTCTTTTAAAATGATGAGGTGCTTGACTGAGACTGGAAGGAAGCAATGCTGGAGGGTAATGCTATTGCAATTATTTCTTAATTGAACAGGTGCTGTAGCTTTAATACAGAATGGAAGACTCAATGTACAGCTAAAAGCAAAGCACAGTTAGGAAATTCTTTCCTGGCTTCACCAAGTCAACTGAAAGGTAAAATAAAACTCTCTGGAAAAAATAAAACAATGAACCAAAGCAGACTTCTGGATTTAGAGGCAACAATAGTTATTCTGATTATTGTTGCCTTATTTGTGTCACATTGGTTTCACCCACCTCAACTTTCCAAGCACACTGTCTCCAAACGTGAAACCCAAGTGTGCCTCAATCATTCTGGATGAATACTCAGGGAAATAGCTATCCCCTTCAGAGCAGCTTTCTGCACTTAATCTGTCCAGGAATCAAATCAGCGGAACTCACATTGCTGCATTTACCACTATTTGGAACGTGAGCATCAATTAACCACACAATAAGCTTCCTACAGCTGCACTTCAGCATTTCACAGAGGACACTGCGGAAACAGAACAACATTGTCTTACCTGAAATGATGTCTTTTTTTGGAGGCTGCCTTTATATCTTGCTTTGTCAGAAACAAAACTACAATACGGGGCACCTAGAAATGTGAGGCAACAGGAAAACAACGTTTGCTTCTATTGTTAGGCTTTTTAGGAGGTTTATATTGGGAACGAGTTCACTACTATTTAAAGCAAGTGGCTTTGTAGATGATGCCAGGGAGAGAGAGGCACTAGACTGTTTTACACAACACCGACATACTGCAGCTTCTTAGGGGACCTTCCAGTGAGAGGGCGCTGCATCACCAAGTCCTTGTGTTTGATTGGGCACAAAGAAGATGTTGCTTCGAATATGTAATTCAGCAGCAATAAACTGGGAGGACCTTTTCATCTTTTCATCATCCCGGCTCCACATTATGAGAGTTCCTACGAATCACAATCAAGGACGTCAAAAAAAAAAGGCTCTCAGCTCCCAGCAGAGACACTCCCAGTTTGCAGGTTACACATGTGAACCGAGAATACTGTGACATGATTTCCCCAGGGACCTCATACCCATCAATAATGTAATACACAAATAAGACGAGAAAGATTCAAAGAATTCTGCAAAGAGCAACATTACCTCATCAGGTTGAACCTTTGCATACAGGGTGGGCAGGTCCAGAGCTAAAGCAAAATCAGGCATCTTTTTAATTCTTTCTACATACTTTCGTGCTTCTTCCTCAGTTAGTCTAGCTGGAGTGAATCCTATCAAATACAGTATCCCCAAACTTGTCAATACACGAAAATGATTTGGGACTCACAGAAGTTTATCAGTTTGTATAGCAATTTTCTCCCAAAACACTACAGATCGAAGATTGGCTTTGGAAGCTGTAAAATTGAGATATTCATGAATCCAAAGTCAATAATTCGATAACATAAACCAGTGTATCAGCCTTGCTAGAGGATCAGGGGACATGAAAAGGCCTCTGTGCCTCTGGGTAGTAAAAGATTAGATATACATCTGCTTTACCCACATTCTCAATTTCGTAGAACTTGAAATTCCTCAGCTGGAAATAAAAATGGAGAAAAACCGTTTCACAAATATTCTGAACTAATGGTGGCAAAATTCCATTTGGGTTCAATCTTCTTCATCGTTGAGGCAGAAAACCAAAATAGCAACAGTATGATCCTCTACAAAGATGGTTTTATTCACGTTACCAAGATGCTGCCAAAGTGTCAGCAAAGAACTTACTTTCAACACAAGATGCTTGGAAAATCAGAATCTTCTGATAGTTTATCTGGTAAGTTTACACTGAGATATGATGTGGATGCACACAGACCAGGTATTTTTAAGCTAATTTTCTATAATTTCCATGCTAAAATACAAAAGATCACCTTCAAAGTTATGAGACAATTCAATAATTTGTCAAATTCTGAACAATAAGAATGATAAGAAAGCAGAGTAAATCTAGACCAAAGTGGAACTCCTCCCCATTGGACATTCTTAATCCTTAGTTGTGAATCCTTTTGTGTCTCACATAATTTAGACCCAATGCTAATTTAGTCTATTTGCTAATACACCCCACAGAGGCTTCTCATGCACTGCTCGTTGGTCATTTTATTTTAAATTAGGTTCACTAATGCTGTATATATTTTATTAAGATACTGTACATTTTCATTAGAGATATTACATTACTGCATTAGGTTTGATTTGGATAGCTATACACAGGATGGGAGCAATATATATTTGAAAGATGAATTTGTTTGTTCTGAAGCCTGTGAAATTCAGCTGGGCTATCCTTTGTTGATCTTGAACAATTGTCCCATTGGTTTTATGTAGTCGGTTTTCTCCTGTGCACATAAATATGGTCACTGTTGTCAGACCCAAAATGAACCAGAGTAGACCTAATTCAGGACTCTTTAGTAATGGAACTTGAGTTCAAGTTTAATTCAAAAAAAAGTGCAGAGAAAGAGTAGAGGATTGGGATTTAGAGTAGTTAACTCCAGAGTAAGAGCTTGCACCACTTCAGGCTCTACGACTTTGTATGTTGTCAATTGTATAACGTCTAAAGTCCTAGAATTAACATAAATCCATTCCATGTTAAAATATGTGGTTAGGTTTCCTCCCTGGCACTTAAATTTATCACTCTTTAATTCTCAGCAATTTGCGTTCCCTTGGAATTAACACAAAAATGCCAAAAAAGAGTCATGCAACCAGAATCGGTATTTCACAGTCTCGGTCATAAGTATGTGAATGTGGAAATCAGCACAGGACTTTAATTACATTTGACTGCTGTTCCCTAGCAACAGAAGTGTAGTTACATACTTTTGATAATTTATTACCAAAGAATATAAACTGCAACATGGCAGCAAATCCAGCATAAGACAAGAAACACGAAAAACTTCTACTCTTGTTTAAGTAGAAGTTTGAATTGTCTCTTACAGAGCAAATGGATGGGAGACAAGGATGTGATCTTCCTCCAATGTTACTGATCAAAGGGGGTTTAGTACAGGTTTCAATGCAGTTTGAACAACTTGCGTGAATATAGCACCTTCGCTCAGGGTAGTGTCTCAGAGCGCTGCACAGTGGTAGGGTTACAGGAGACTGAAGCAGGGAGTTCCCAAGATTAGGAGTGTATCACTTCCCCATCCAGCTCTCCTTATTTATAATGAAACAAACTATGAGTGGCACTATATCAAATGCAGGATTATTATTATTATTATAACAAAGTGTTCAAGCACAGCATGTAATTTTTCACGTTTAATTTGGTTAATACTGTAACTGTTACATCTTTAATTAAATAATTCAGATATTGTTTTCTTATTATTCTGCTCTCATGACTCTGGTACGTAGGAAAGTATACACAACCAGATAACCTCATCACTGCCAAAGTGCAACAGAATGTCACCATAACTGGATACCAGAAAAAGGTAATACAACAACAAAATTACATTTATATAGCACCTTTCATGTCGGAAGGGCATCCCAAGGCTCGAGACATACAGTTGGTTGGCTGTCACTGTTATTAATGTTGGCTTATTTTGACCCTTGCATCTTTCAAACACCAGGATTAATAGCAAGAAGGGAACAACAATAACAATTTGCATTTAAATAGTGCCCTTCACACGAGGTACCATCTCAGAGTGATGAAAATGGTGTGGTCTGATGATTGATGTCGACCCAGGAAGAGCTGACCGAAGGCAGGGTTGAGAGGAAAGTCTTCAGATGCGATCTGAAGATAGGCAAAGAGGAGTAAGGCAGAGGGAGTGAGGAACTAACTTCAAGTAGAAAGAATGGGGCAAGTTATAAATAAGAATGGTCCGGGGAAGATGACAGAATTCAGCAGCTTTCAATTACAATTCTCATTTGATTTATAGTATAATATTATTTGAATACTTCCTCTTGATTGGGAGGAATAAAACAATATCCAGCACTGTAATTTGAGATATTATGATTTTTTTAAAAAAAATCCTACTCAAAGAAATCTCTCCATTAATATAATAATTATCCTGGCATTTTAATGTAACAGCTTTCACGGCGGGAGTAAGTGTCAAAGCGCTTCACAGGATTTGTTGTAAATTATGAAGTGACTGTATTTTGTAGGCAAAGGTAGCATTCAGTTTGCACACAGCAATGTCCCACAAACAGCCAGGTAGTAAATGATCAATTTTATCTGGGAGATTGTTGGTCAAGGTACTGGGAGAAACTCCCTTCTCTTTTCGAAAAGTGCATTGGTATCTTAATGTCCACCTAAACAGGCAGACTGGGTCTCAGTTTAACATCTCATTCAAAAGATAGGGTAAAGGGTAAAGCAGCAGAAAACTGAAAGAAACATAATAGTGTTTGGACAACTATTTTGTTCCTTTCTCAAACGTTTGTCTTTTGGGGTGTTTTATTATGGGAGCCATGATAGAACTTCAAACCACGCACAATTATTCTATTTGACAACTCACATACCTCCACACTTGTGATTTTCCCAAATAATTAAACTATTTGTTTTAAACTCTTTTAAGCAAAGGTTAATGAATGTTTCTTGCCAATGCATTCTCATTATAATCCCATTATCAACAGAAAAACAAATGCCTGTAATGTTACCACCTAGGATGTGCTAGACCCATTTCATGGATATAATTAATATAACCTTTGAGATTGGTCAGCTCATTTGTAATGTCAAGACTTAACTTGCCAGTTTTCCTTGTTCAAATGTCCATCATCATTTACTGCTGACTGTGACAAACAAATATTTACAGCATTAATTACTTTGTGACACAGTAGTGAGTTTGTTTTTTACTGGTATCGATTTATATGACCATCATGGGCACAGCAGCTATGGTGAGTTACTTGCTGTTGGAGGAGGAAGAACAGCAGCAGATGTAACTGGAATCTCAAAAACATAAGAATAAAAATATCATAATAATAAGCCTTGCATTGGATATAGCGCATTTTATTTTGGGAAGATGTCTCGAAGCTCTTCACAGGATTTACTGTAAAGTGTGGTGCCTGCTTATTTTGTAGGTAAACAGAAATATAAGTACAATTAGAGTCCTGCTATAACACGGTAATTGAGGTGCATAAAATCCTAACTGGCATTGTAATAGAGCACAATTGCCAACCAGTTCTTCCACATTCATTGCCTCGTGTATGCAGAAAGCCAACCAGCTGGCCGATGGCCAATGTCTGACGCAGATCACTGTGATGTCACTTCCTGTACAACACAGGTAGTGACATCAGTGTCATCCTGATGATCCGGACACTGGGCACATCACCTTAAAGCCAGCTCAGCTCCAATAGTATAGCAAAGCTGAAGCAAGGATGGAATGCTATCATACTCTTAGCGCCACTAAAATGTGTACTGTAATAATGTACAACAGTTCACCAAATCCAGCTGTGCATCATTTATTTCCTACAGGAAGAAATTGTACAATCCAAGGAACTAAAAATGATTAAGAGTTCTAGAAATCATTCAAACTGCTCAAACTCCAAAACTCCCGCTGAAACCCAATCCCCCTGGTCACAGGGCATAGCCAGGGTAATTTGCATTGTGCTAGGCATTGCATTTAAAACAGTGCATTTTCATCTTGCTAGTAGTTAGTATGAGAGTGCAGAGGTGTCTGGCAACAGACACTCTGACATTCATTCAGAGTCCCGTTTTAACGTCCATCATTATGAGCACTGCAGTTCAGGTCCAGGTCTTCCTTGATATTTTGGCTTAGATTTCAGACCAACACGAGCAGAGCAGGTTACAGTTAGTGGGTAGTTAAAAACAGACCAGATCTAACTGCAGGGTTCCAAAGCAAAATTGCATTATTGTAATGTTCGTGCAGACCCCATTGTAACTAAAGCAT